GACTAGGTATTAGCCTTTTTTCTTTACCTAGAGAAGCCATATGCACTTTATTCTCCACCAGCTGTCTTCTTTGGCATACATGGGTCTCTTTCTTGCTCTCCATGTTAAAAACGTCTCCTCAATTAATCCACTGTGCCAAGGTGTCCCGCAAGGAAGTGTGCTCAGGACCACCTTATTCCTACTTGTTAATGATATAGTTTGTTCTACCTCCAGAGTTCCGGTCATTCCTCTCTTTGGATGATTTAACCATCTTTGCCTCTGGCCCTCTGCTCACCACCAACATTAATGCTTTGCGCCACTAATCACAGCTTTTGTTTTCTTCCTCCAAATCCTTCTCCGCCCTTTTTCCTCGCTCTCATATAGGTATTCATCCTTTAAACTTCTTACAAGGTGTCCTCCAATACCTTCCGACTTGCTAGCCCTCTTAATGTTATTTTAGACTCCAAACTGTTGTGTTCCATGTATATTTATGGATTTACTTTCATGGTAAACTCTAATGATAAAAAAGCAGCTCCATGTTAAAGGATGACGGTGAAGCAAAACGAACCAGCCAGCCTCGCTGCGAGCGTCACACAAAAACATAACAAAAGTAAGGACAGATAGAGTACAAATCTCGTGTATACACTTTTATTAAGAAATCAGAGAAACTGAAAAAAATATATATACATATTTTCACATCTGAGAAAAAATCAAATACAGAGATGACAGATGATGACTCACTAGAGTCTAATAAATATCATATGTGGAATGACATGAAAAAAATAAAGAAAAAAAAAACTCTACTTGATGTGTTATAACATAGCGATGCTGTTTTAACAGTCTAATATTTAAAGTATTCAGTATTCCAAAGTATTCAAATATCTGTCAAATTTCAACACAAGTGATTTTTCATTCCTTTTATATGAATACTATAAGAGTCATGAATTGGCTGACAGGATCATTTTTGTTATGCAGCAAAATATATTTCTATATTCCCATATCTTTATTTCCAAAGAAACCACACATCACACAAAAGCTCCTTAAAGACTTCCAAACTTCCCACTTAAATATATAGACAGAAATTCACAATAGTAAAACACTCCAAAAAATATATCACATCGTGTGTATATATTGTAAGAAATGCAATCACACGAACAAGTTCTCCATATGCTCCTCTAAGGCACTAGGCATTGACAGTGTAGGAAACAAATACATATATACTTATGTATATAAATCTATACATATGTATATACACACATTAGGCACTGGATACTCAATACACTGGATGGAAAGCTTTTAATAAATGCGACATTAATCTTTCAACTGCCCCAATTTTTTGCCCTTTCTTCCACTAAATTGCATTTTTTTTTCTTACCTATTGCAAGTCACTCTTTGAGCAAATACTCTATACATGAGAGGTTGTAATGTACCATATTTCAGTTATGGTAAGAATAAATACATAAAATTCATTGCAAAAAAATGTCATTAAAAATGCAACTTGATACCCTGAATAACTACTACAAATCACAAGCAGGAATTCCTAATCACAAGAGCAAAAGTAATGCAAAAATAGTTCATACTCTCCTTGTCTTCATTATCATTATCTTTGTTTTTCCTTATCCTCATGGTTTTTGTAATCGTTTGCTTGCCCCACTACTTAATAAATGCATAATTCATAGATCGACCGAGGCGTTATCTTCAGTTCATTCTTTGAAGCCTATGACGAGGGGGGGAACGGTTAATGAAAAGGAAGAACGCATAATAAACGTTAACAGGATAGTGATCAAAAGGGAGAATTATTAAGAGAGGTAAAAGAAGAAAGACGAAAAGGAAAAATGCAAAAACAAGAGATGAAGGATAAACAGGTAAATATGAGAAATAATAACAAGGAAAAGGGATAGATGAAAAAAGTAAGAGATGGAATGAGAAAAGGGAATATAAGAAAAGCATAGAGAAAAGATTTTAAAAATCTATATATTAATAGAACAATCCCACAAGTATAAATTGTGAAACTGATTACAAGTGATACTGTAGCTTAATTCTGCCCCTTCAGACGTAGATTGCCAGGAATATCCTGGCTTTCCCACATTCGTAAAAAAAAAGGTTGACATCCTGTAATAATTTGTAATACTGAAACAGACAAGAACTTCCTCTTGTCCTTAACACCTAATCTCTAATCCTGGTGTCCATTTTCCCTTTTCACATCCTACGAATAGCAAATACACAATTCACTGAGATGTAATTTACAATACACAGCACAGCTTACTGGAAAGGAATGACAATAGTCTAGGTAAGAAACTAGATGTTACTCTTGTTACACGTGTGAAAATAAAATCTCGGCATTCTTAATTTTTCTAATCAAACCATTTTTTCTTTTCTCCTGCACATCACTAACTCGTCTCTCTCCAGTACATTAATGACAAATATCACTGTTTGAGGACAACCCATAAGAGAGGTGTTATCTCAAAGACAGTATGAATGGAAAAGGGTTGTACTGCTGCCTATAGACTCCATCACCTTCTTACTACTAAATGAAAAAATAAATGTCTAAAACTCTAAATCTTACGAGTGAAGCTTATAGTTCCTCACACAGAAAACTTGGCATCTTCAGTACTCAAAGTATTTGACAAATGAAATCCTGTCAGTCTAACAATAATCATACTTTGTCAGTTCATATTCATTGATTCTTCCTTAACATTTGGCTTAAATAGCGGGTGCCAAAGTTTCCAAAATTATTTTTTTAATACAATAGACAATTTTTCTTCCTAGTGGAATCGTCCTCGCCCTCCCATCCCTCATAATCATACACATACAATATTTGGAAGAAAAATGACAGGACTACCAGCATCACTCTCCCTGCCAAGCAGAGGAAAGCGTAGTTTAGGAGGACCATTACCTATCTTATATTGCAAAATACAAAAAATCCAGTCACCCTTTCTCATCGGCAGGAACTCTTTGTATCTGGATAACGCACTTTTAAAACTAAAAAAAAGAAAAAGAAAAAAAAACTACCATAAAACTAATACAAACATCAATAACAGGAATGTTCAGCATGATATGGAATGGAAATAAATCTCCCTTTTTTGTTTTGCAAAGGAGGCCCTTTCCGCAGAATTCCCCTGTTCTGATATGTAACATAGACTTCATAGGTTGCAGTGACCGTTGGGCCACCATACACAGCAAAGAAAAAGGTGTGTGTGTGTGTGTGTGTGTGTGTGTGTGTGTGTGTGTGTGTGTGTGTGTGTGTGTGTGTGTGTGTGTGTGTGTGTGTGTGTGTGTGTGTGTGTATATACAGCTAAAGATGTGTACAGCTAAAGATGTGTACATAATCATAAGTTTGTGTTTGTGTGTGTAAAAACTAATATCTTAACACAGCATTTACTAACCAAACAATAAATCAGGAAAATATATACAATCACTATCCGCTTGATTCCCTCACAACAAAACCCATATACAATAGATTAGAAAATCCTAGCATAAGGCACAGACAAAGATGAAAACAATGACTGACTGACTCACTCAATCTATTTCTATTTCTATTTCTATATCTCTTTCTTTCTTTCTTTCTCTCTCTCTCTCTCTCTCTCTCTCTCTCTCTCTCTCTCTCTCTCTCTCTCTCTCTCTCTCTCTCTCTCTCTCTCTCTCTCTCTCTCTCTCGTGAACACATTCCCACACTCGAAAAACTAGAGGCTAGTTTATTCTCAAGTCTATTAGAACACAAAATCTTGTGTTACTTTGTTTCCCATTAAACCTCTTCTTGTCTATGTTCCAACATTTATAGTTCTCTATTAACATTAATCATCGTTCCTCTATTCACATTTCACTCGTAACTACTCTATCCTTTTTACACAGAGGCATCCTTCCTCTATTAATAACTCCCTAACAGATTGATCCCTATTATACATGCATCCACGAATATGTTTATTAGCCTGCCTATCTTAAAGTCCAATAGAAGCTGCAGTTGTAACATATCACATAGGATGAGACCTTATACCAATCCCTGATGTTAATGTTAATTTTTGTTGTTGTTCACCATAGATCAATCTGTGTTGATCAATGATTTGATAAGATTTCCACTCCTTAACCCTAGCAAAAATACTGCACTGGGTGTTCTCCAGTATGAAAAGAACATATGTATATAAAGTATCGAAATCTCTTACAGAATCCAACGAGTCCTCATCCTTGATATTTCATATTGATCTTTACCATAAATACATTGTAAAAAAATAAACTTGTAGTTTCTCAAGAATAAGCATAAAATAAATAAAACAGGAAAGGCACAAGGAGTCAGGGCACTCGAGCCTCTCCACATGAAAAGGCCTTTCAGGGAAAACCAGGAAAAGAAATGCTCTCTTAGGAACAATCAGGGAGAGAAAACTGCCCTTTAATTAAGTCATAAGGGTGCCCTGTTTTTCAGCGGAGCCCCCTGCCCTTCTGGATGTTTATAGTCACCACTGAGAATGAATACATACATAAACAGTACCCCTTCACCATAAGGCCCAATATTCCTTACCGTAAGTTGCTGCATCACGAAGTTAACAATATGTCTAACATCACTATAAACTTTTTCACTGTACAATAAAAGATACGAAATCATACAGTCCATGTATACTATTTAACTCATAAATTAAAAGAAAAGTTATGTTTTGTATGTCAGTTTGATGCACATAAAATCCATCTTTATCATCATGATTCATATCTGTATCAATCACTCTGACAAATAAAGTAGTAAATCTTCCCTCATATTGCTACCCTTGGCATAACAAAGTGTGGAAAATCAGTACCTAAAAGACATTACATTTTACACTCAATAAAATCATAACATCTAAATCACTCTTATTTCCTTATATCACAAGGAGTAAATCCAACATCAAAACAACGAAAGAAAAAAAGAAAAGGAGAGAGAAAAAAATCACAAAACATCAAGAAACGCAAAACTTAACCAATCGCCCAAGAAACGCGTGTCCACAGCAACTCCACAACGGCACCCTCCCCCCCCTCCCCCCACATCCCACAATACCCCACACCCAACCACTCAGCCTCGTCCTAGAAGTCTCCCTCCTCAAATAACGCAGGTCTTCCGGTACCCAAACATGGTCTTGTACTCGGGGAGGATCTTGGTGCGGATCGCCGTGTTCTGCTTGGCCACCACCCGGTCCCGCGAAGGGTCCTTGTGCAGCTTCTTGATTCCCGGCCGGTGGACGAGGAAGGCGTTGTCCATGATGTGGAACTCGTAGTCGCGGACGCACAGGATGTACATCTGCGGGGAGAAGCAAGGATGAGGGATTCTGAAGTGAACTTAGTGCACTGTAGATCATAGAAAAGGGGAAAGGGAAGGAGGGACGTAGGCCCAAGGCGCATTTGTGGCATTAAACGCATATGATAAAACACACTAGTTCTGCAGAAAAAAAGAAATTCTATTTTAGATACTGTGACTCAGATCTGCCAATACCTAAATTATTTATGATTTTATGGCAAATTTATGCCAAGATGCGGCTGTAAAAAAGTTTAACGGAGATGGATCATCTTACCGCAAGTGACGTCATCGGTTCTTCCACCAACCTAAAGTCTGATTTGATTAATGCCTGCTTATACATTTTTCACGATTTCTTTTACCTTGATAATGGGATGAAGGTCAGAGATTTACTGAATAAATCTAGTTTTCTTGAGTGCAGTATGAGTGAGCATTTGTTCAATAATGTAAATAGAAATATAGTGGGAAGAAGTGCACGTGTGGACGTGGGGAGAATTGAAGTATATAACAGTATGAATAAGAATGCGTGTGCCTATGCATGTGAATGAGAGCGTGAGTGTGAATGCAAGGGGAATGTGCAAGGGAAAATATAAATGTAATTCGCACACAAAAAAAAATATCTTCACCACAAATCAGTGAAAATAAACACAACTGCACATGCCAAATCACGCACACACCCAAGGACAGAAATGTGTTAATGAAGATTTTTCTCTCTCTCATCCTCTCTCTCTTTCTCACTCTTTCTCCCTCTCTCTCTCACTCTTTTTCTCTCCCTCTCTCTCTCACTCTTTTTCTCTCCCTCTCTCTCTCACTCTTTTTCTCTCCCTCTCTCTCTCACTCTTTTTCTCTCCCTCTCTCTCTCACTCTTTTTCTCTCTCCCTCTCTCTCTCTCACTCTTTTTCTCTCCCTCTCTCTCTCTCACTCTTTTTCTCTCCCTCTCTCTCTCTCACTCTTTTTCTCTCCCTCTCTCTCTCTCTCTTCTCTCCCTCTCTCTCTCACTCTTTTTCTCTCCCTCTCTCTCTCACTCTTTTTCTCTCCCTCTCTCTCTCTCACTCTTTTTCTCTCCCTCTCTCTCTCACTCTTTTTCTCTCCCTCTCTCTCTCACTCTTTTTCTCTCCCTCTCTCTCTCACTCTTTTTCTCTCCCTCTCTCTCTCACTCTTTTTCTCTCCCTCTCTCTCTCTCACTCTTTTTCTCTCCCTCTCTCTCTCACTCTTTTTCTCTCCCTCTCTCTCTCACTCTTTTTCTCTCCCTCTCTCTCTCACTCTTTTTCTCTCCCTCTCTCTCTCACTCTTTTTCTCTCCCTCTCTCTCTCACTCTTTTTCTCTCTCTTTCTCTCTCACTCTTTTTCTCTCTCTTTCTCTCTCACTCTTTTTCTCTCTCTTTCTCTCTCACTCTTTTTCTCTCACTCTTTTTCTCTCACTCTTTTTCTCTCTCTTTCTCTCTCACTCTTTTTCTCTCTCACTCTTTTTCTCTCTTTTCTCTCTTTTTCTCTCTCACTCTTTTTCTCTCTCTTTCTCTCTCACTCTTTTTCTCTCTCTTTCTCTCTCACTCTTTTTCTCTCTCTTTCTCTCTCACTCTTTTTCTCTCTCTTTCTCTCTCACTCTTTTTCTCTCTCTTTCTCTCTCACTCTTTTTCTCTCTCTTTCTCTCTCACTCTTTTTCTCTCTCTTTCTCTCTCACTCTTTTTCTCTCTCTTTCTCTCTCACTCTTTTTCTCTCTCTTTCTCTCTCACTCTTTTTCTCTCTCTTTCTCTCTCACTCTTTTTCTCTCTCTTTCTCTCTCACTCTTTTTCTCTCTCTTTCTCTCTCACTCTTTTTCTCTCTCTTTCTCTCTCACTCTTTTTCTCTCTCTTTCTCTCTCACTCTTTTTCTCTCTCTTTCTCTCTCACTCTTTTTCTCTCTCTTTCTCTCTCACTCTTTTTCTCTCTCTTTCTCTCTCACTCTTTTTCTCTCTCTTTCTCTCTCACTCTTTTTCTCTCTCTTTCTCTCTCACTCTTTTTCTCTCTTTCTCTCTCACTCTTTTTCTCTCTCTTTCTCTCTCACTCTTTTTCTCTCTCTTTCTCTCTCACTCTTTTTCTCTCTCTTTCTCTCTCACTCTTTTTCTCTCTCTTTCTCTCTCACTCTTTTTCTCTCTCTTTCTCTCTCACTCTTTTTCTCTCTCTTTCTCTCTCACTCTTTTTCTCTCTCTTTCTCTCTCACTCTTTTTCTCTCTCTTTCTCTCTCTCTTTCTCTCTCTCTTTTTCTCTCTCTTTCTCTCTCACTCTTTCTCTCTCTCTCTCACCCTTTTTCTCTCTCTCTCACCCTTTTTCTCTCTCTCTCACCCTTTTTCTCTCTCTCTCACCCTTTTTCTCTCTCACCCTTTCTCTCTCACCCCTCACCCTTTCTCTCTCTCACTCTTTCTCTCTCTCACTCTTTCTCTCTCTCACTCTTTCTCTCTCTCACTCTTTCTCTCTCTCACTCTTTCTCTCTCTCACTCTTTCTCTCTCTCACTCTTTCTCTCTCTCACTCTTTCTCTCTCTCACTCTTTCTCTCTCTCACTCTTTCTCTCTCTCACTCTTTCTCTCTCTCACTCTTTCTCTCTCTCACTCTCTCTCTCTCACTCTCTCTCTCTCACTCTTTCTCTCTCTCACTCTTTCTCTCTCTCACTCTTTCTCTCACTCTTTCTCTCTCTCTTACTCTTTCTCTCTCTCTCACTCTTTCTCTCTCTCTTACTCTTTCTCTCTCACTCTTTCTCTCTCACTCACTCTTTCTCTCTCACTCACTCTTTCTCTCTCACTCACTCTTTCTCTCTCTCTCACTCTTTCTCTCTCTCTCACTCTTTCTCTCTGTCTCTTTCTCTCTGTCTCTTTCTCTCTCTCTCTTTCTCTCTCTCTCTCTCTCTTTCTCTCTCTCTCACTTTCTCTCACTCACTTTCTCTCACTCATTTTCTCTCACTCACTTTCTCTCACTCTTTTTCTCTCATTCTCTCTCTTTCTCTCACTCTCACTCTCTCCCTCCCTCCCCCCTCCCTCACCTGCGTCATCTTGTCGCTCTTGCCCTCCCACG